ATCTCCGCTGTGAAAGCTAGCACTCCAAAGTGTGTACACAGAAGAATTGAGCGAGTTGATATTGATGCCCACATGCTTATAAGGAGGATCCGTGTCTCCGTTGACAAAGGAGTCAAACTCAACTGCAACAATTTGCTGCTTATGCTGTAATAACTGAGAGTTTAAGATGGTAGGAAACAGGCCTAAACCACCACCACCTGAGTTCGCAGGAGATTGAAATCCAACAGGACCAATGAAAAAGACGATCCCATCACCATAATATAGGTTGTCGGGACCTAAGGTATCGATAGTGAAGGAAAAATGGGTGGTAAAGTCAGTAAGCTGCTTGGTACCAAAGTCCTGGAGCCGGACAGGCTCTGTACAAATAACTTGGCCAAGACGAAAATACCCATCCTGGGTCAAGTTCATGGCTCCAGCAGAAGGACTCGCATCTCCCCTGTATTCAATGTCTCTCATGTTAGAACCAAAGTAAGTTATGTTGAAGGAAATCGAATCAATCAAAGGAAGCAAGAAAAGAAAGGTTGTAAAAATGGTGAGCTGCAGTATGAACAGGTCCATCGAAACTACAATGTGATAGAGAAGAGGAAGGAGATAAGTTTACAAAGTAGTATTGAAGCAGTCCATGCGGATTGACTTCAATTCTTTTTAATTCAAGTTGACTTCGTTTCGGAGGGTGGAACACGCTCCCCCTAGATATTTCCGGGCGCATGGCCGCGTCGCTTTAATTTTGTACGAGAAATCAGAACCATGTTTCACGTCTAATTGGTCAAGCCACAGGTGTTCCACGGTTTCTCTCCTAGGAAAAAGCCAAGAAATTTGGTCCAGAAGATAAAGAGGAAAGAGCCAAGGAATAACAAATAAAGAAGAGAAAGAACCACCTGCTCTAGTAGGAAAATGTGGAACTGCTGTCCCTTGCTTTCACATTTGTTTAACACATCCTAGCTGTGATAAAAAGAATTACTTATTGTAAAATATTTTTGATCAGTTCTACGGTTAATATTCGTCTTAAAATTTAATATGACATCAAAACATACGTCACCTTTATTTTTTAATTTTTTTCATAAATTCTTTTTATTTATAATCAATTAACTTTACATTAGATATCTATCTTTTTTATCTTGTAATATGAAAAGTGCATTTGTTTAAATTATATATAGATATATTCTTAAAATATTATTATTCTCCATCCGTTTAATTTTTTTTTCATTTTTCCTTTTTGAAATGTTTACTTTTACCTCTCTTTTTGACAAATTTGTTTTTCATGAATTTTTTTTTTACTTTTTCATATTATAAAAGTTAAACATGCAAATTATAAATTTTTAAATTTAAAATATAAAATAAATAAAAATAAAAAATTTTTTGGAGATGGTAAAAGTACGATAATATTCAATCTATACACTAATGATATATTTATTTATTTATTAGTCCAATAAGTAAAAGCTTGCATTAAATGGCCAAACCCGGCCCATAGGCTTTCTGATGCTTAATCTGTAGTGGGCTGGCAGCCCATGATTTCAATTGGGAACATGGATTTGAAAATGATTTTGATTTCACGGGCCAAAACCCAAAAGAAGTGAACCTTTGAGGTTCTCTTGGGAGACCATTATTTATTATTATTTTTTAAAATGTTTGGATATTTTAATATAATGAAATTGGAATATTATAAGGGTGGACTTGCAATTCTAGATATTCATAAACTAACCCATATCACTATTGATGTTTACAATTAACTCATTGATCTCCACCAGTGATTTCTTGTATATCAAGTTAATTAAAGAGAGGGTTTATGTTTTACACACTGTCAGTTCCTACTATTTTATAAACTATCACTTACCCATATAGTAAAATTTCATAAATTTACAAAGATTTTATAAATGTGCAAAGACTATATCAAACATAAACCTTTGAAAATGTACTAAGTTAAGAGAAACTTGAAAGCTAAAATTTGGAAGAAAAGTATAATTACATCAGGATTACAATATTGTAGAACTTTCTGCTGCAGAATGTAAAAGACAAAAAAGCCTAAATTTGTCTTGTCTTAGCCAAACCAAATAAAAAAAAAGATTTAAAACAATGATGAATGAGAAGAAAAATAGAACTCCCCAGCACATTCCACAATAATGCTTTCACTGGCTTGTAGAGTATCTTGTTCGAATACATCTCAATCTCCTCAGCTGTTGTTCCAGGGATTCTCCCAGCAATCAGTGTCCATCTGGTATAACATGTTGCACCCTCTTTTTTAACGTGAAAATATTCTAGAAAAAAACAAACATGTGTATGGATATGTGTAGAAGGTTTGATAAAGAACAGAAGATGTACTACCTTTCTCCAACCAAGTTAAACATCCTGATTATC